GACTATCATATGGATTAAGTGCCTTGGAAATGTGTGGGAAGGTATGAGCTGGCAAGAGCATAACAATGAAGAAAAATGATGATTTCACTGAAAAATGCTGCCACATTTGAAAAGAAAAAAAAAATGAATGTGTGGCATGTCCCTACAGCTGTGTGCAAAACCTGAAGTAAACAAGTAAACAAGGTGGAATAAGTAGGTATTGGAACAATGACAAAGTAGTGGTCTTTTTAAATATTTCACAATTTGATTTGCATTTTGTCAGAAAAGACCAACTGGAGGCTCAAAAACTGAGAATATGGGAAACAAAGACCTGTTCTCACTGTTTGAATACCTACACATTTTGACTGACATTCATCAAAAGGGGACAAAAACACTCAGTGATGACCTTTACCCTTCTATGTCAAGTGCACTCTGGGTAAAGAGCATCAAACAGATCTGAAACTCACAAAGGAGCACTCCCCCAACCCTTTCCCCAACCCGTCCCCCGTCCTCCCTTGGAGGGGAACTTTACCATACCTGCAAATGAATCAAAGTGTCTCTCAAAGGTGGGCAGTTTGTCTACATAAGCATCGTCTTCTGACAAGCCAAAGAACAAATGAGGAGACAAACGGCAAAAAAGACAAAAAAACGAAACAAAAGAAAAACAAAAAAACAAAAAGCAAATTAAACCCAGGGAAAATAATGTAAAATAAATAGGTAATGTCATGGACACAAAATAAAACAGTAGAAATCAACATAAAGGAAAAATCTTGAATACAATTGTGATTCAAGTGTCAAGATTACAAAGCAGGTGAACTGGAAAGGAGGCAGTTTATAGTTAAAACAGTTTCTGTGACCTTTTTCCTACTGTCAGCCCCACATCTTTTTGGCCTATCAACAAAACCACACTAGATAAATAATATATGAATTATGGGCTGTAATCGAGACTTTAGTAAAATCTCCATACTCATAAAAATGTCTTCATGTTACAGTCAAGATCTGGTAATTTATTCAGTCCGCCTCTAAAAGTACACCCTCCAATCAGGGACTATATTTTGCTTTTACATAACTACTGCTGCCTCCAGAGTGTGTATTTTTTAAATCTACGATGACTCAGTCATGTTACAGTCGACTGAGATTTGCTATTATCCACTTACTCTGCACTGTAGGGTCCTTTAGCACTGACTCTAAAGTTAGATCAAGGAGTATAAGTTGTTGTTGTGTCAGTAATTCATTAAAGGTTTGCTGAATGTTTGCGTTTTAAAATTAACAGCCTGCTTCGTATTCTCACCTCCCACTGACGCCCTGCTTGTGTGTGAGCGCGTAAATGAATTTGTCTCGTGTGTGTCAAACCAATATTTATAGGCAGTCTTCTAAAATAATTTTTAGAAGAAATTAATTCTTATTTAATGAATTTGAATTTAGGATCCAAAATCATTGCTTACATATTTGTAAAATGGACATAGTGTAATGGTTTATGGTAAGTAAACAAAACAGTGACTCTATATCCACCATTTAGTCAACCATGATCGCTAAGAAACTGTTGCCGTTTCCAGAAAAACAAAATAATATAAGACAAAAACAAATAAATACTTAATTCCATGACTCATTGCAAACACACTTTGACCACAAGGAAGGACAGGGCCAGTTCATAAAATAAATAATAGACTTTTAATATTTCAGAAAAACAGTTGAGTTCAGCCAGGACTGCTAGCCTCTGTGAGCAGCCATCAGGTGACAAGCTGCACAGCTCAGTGACGGCTGATGGTTCACACACCTGACACAGACACGGAGAGCTCCTTGGTGACAGTTGGGGTGGTGGCGGCACTCAGGGAGTTGGTGGAGGAGATGGAGGAGGTGCTCTCGGCCCGCGCCAACGGGGCGATGGGAGGAGGGCTTGCTGAGTGGATCGGCGGGCTGAACGGGCGACTCTGGAAAGGTAAAAAGGAGAAGATTAAGGAAAAGGAGCAGTATATTGGGGACAATGTATTTATCCATCCTAGCTCAGATTGTGATAAACTCTGCTGGGACCACAGTATATAGATGTGCTTGGCTCTTTATGGATATGTTCTAGTGGAGTAACAGGCCAGGTGAGCAATATACATAAACGTAAGTGATGCCATAAAAATAAATGCTGTAACAATGACATAGAAACATAGAATGATCAAATTATAAAGTAGATCTTACCACATCCCCTACAGTGGGTTTCCCTGGAGGAAGTTTGGGTCGTGAAGGGGGACGAGGTGGAGGTGGAGGCGGGGTGGGGTTGACTGACGAAGGTGTAGCAGGTCGTACAGGTGAGGAGGAGCCTGTAGAGAAGAACAAAAACACACAGTTAAGATCACTAGTTCAGTTCAGAAAACTACTGCAGAATGCATAAACAGTACACTGAATTAAAACACACGATTTGGAGCCAAGTTGATACCTTTTTACACATTTTTCACTTTTTAGTGCACAGATTTCAGTTTAACTGAACTGAACTGAAGATGTCCTATAAAAGTCAGGCAAACACAATAAAGATTTTCATTCTAAGTAAAGGATCTTTAATTACAAACCTCTGCTAATATAACAAATTCTATAGCAGGAGGCTTGTGTACATCCATCTCAGCTAAAACATGACCTATTTTCAGGAAATAAAATGCAGAATCATTGTTCAGTTTGCTCAAATTTACGAATAAAAGTGGTGAAATTGGCTGAAAGAAAATTTGGAGAGGATGCACTGCTGGCAATATGATCACTTCTCAACTCTGATCAACGCCCAGGAAATTGTCTCTCTGTTTTTCAATATCTCATTTGTATGAGAAGGTTTAGCCTGAGAGCCTGACAATCAGTCACTGAGCACAATTTTCACTATGCCGAAATGATTAGGTGTTTTTTTTAGTTTGCATAAAATAATCTATCTTCTAAATGGGCTGTAAGAAACTTGTCCTCTATGAATCCTATTCCAGTTAGAGTCATGAACTACTTACCGCTGTTCGAGCCACCAGCCCCTGATGTGGGACCTGGTGATGAAACCACTGCACGGTATGTGGGAGGAGGAGGTGGGGGAGGCGTACTCCGACTCCCCTGGCTAGTATCTTTGGGTGAGGTGACAGTTTCACCTCCGTCCTCTTTGGGCTGGGTGGTGTCTGTGTTCTTGGGCAGCTCCTCTTCAGAGAGGACAAGGGGTGGAGGGACGGAGCGAGCTGCCGGTTCCTCAGTAGGAGGACTGACTGCTGGAGGGGTGCCTGCATTAGGGGCAGAGGCTGGTGGGACACTGGTAGGTGAGTCAATAGGAGGAGAGGAGGAAGCGGGAGGTGATGCAAGCTCCTTTGGTGCAGGGGGTGGAGAAGTGGCGAGAGGATTTCTGTCTTCGGGTGTGGAAGGACCTGAACGGACAGGAGGTGCAGCAGGCTCCTCTGAGGGAGGCGGGGAGGTTGGTAGAGGGGGGGCAGGATCTTCTTTTGGGGGAGGGGATGTAGGGAGAGGCGGTGCTGGGTCTTCTGGAGGAAGTGGGGATGTAGGTAAGGGTGGGGCTGGAGACTCAGGTGGGGGTGGGGAGGCTGGTAACGGAGGAGCTGGTTCCTCTGGCGGAGGTGGGGAGGTGGGGAGAGGAGGTGCAGGGTCCGTTGGTAGAGGCGGCCGGTCAGAAGATTCTTCACTGAAGCACACCCACGTGTCACCTGTATCCTCGCCAGGAGGGGGAGCCTGCTCCGGGCCAAAAATGTTGTCCAAGTCAGCTATCGAGGGCTTCCTGGTTGAGCTGTCGGCTTCTGTTGACACTTCTGAAAGAGAGATAACCAGTGAATAAATCAAAGGCTGCGTTTGCAGAGGTGTTCAGAGAGCTTCCACAAAGAGATTAAACATCACAGACACAAAGTCAAATAGACTGACAGAGAAAGTCAGACAGAAAGTTGAAGATGAATAGACAGCTGCGATCAAATGTAAAAGTTGGTTTTATTCCAAAGGTGATTTAACGGGAAGCAGAAATAGATAAGAAGACTTCTTACCAGCATCATCTGCAGAGGGAGGGTCAGTCGTCAGGGGAGAAGTTGGGACATTCTTGGGTGGGAGTGGAGGTGGAGCTGCAATGACATCGTAAGTCAGTGATGAGCCTATAAGGTGCAACAGGTGATTCCTGGAGATTTGTCTAGTGTCCGCTTTACATCACTGCAACTTATGGTGGGCTGCATACAATACTGACTATGGCAAGAATAAAAATAAAGAGGATTTGAAGATTAGCTTACAACAACACAGCTAATCATTTAACAAAAGTTGAACTTCTGGAACTTAAAGCAACAGATATAATCATCGCCTGCAAAATCTATCTACAACAACTTGAGGAGGGATCACCCCAAACCATCCACCATGCAGCACAGTACATTCAGTCACCACCATGCCAAATGCAAGGAGGAGGCAGCGAGGGAGGAAGGGCTGGTGCAGAATGAGAGTTCAGTATTAAACCTCTCCCATATAACAAACTACAACCAACCCTGAATCACGTGCTTAGGAAATGGCTGATGAAATGAAACGGGTTACAGCTGTCTGCTTAGAAAGAGAAGGAGAGTGTTATCGCCACACACTTGTTTGATCGGGTTAGTTTGCAGGTCTGGTTGTTAGTCGGATGATGAGGGAGTTCATGAGGTGAGCTGATGGGTCGGTGCTGTCATTCCGGGGAGACGAGGAAGTTTGGCACGATATGCAGAGAATTATTAAACTTACTTCCTGTGGGGAAGGATCTTGTCAAAGAGGATTCAGGCTCTGACAGAGGAGTCCCCCACACATCAGACTCAGATAGACCCACTAAGTTCAGGAGGGGACAGAGAAGGCCATGTGAAGGGCATTAGCAGCAAAACACTTAAGAGTTTCCGATTCTCTGGGCCTTGAGAGGCAACAGGTATATGAGGGGAACAAGTACAGACAAGCATGCCAATACAATGTTTAGGTAGAGGAAACAGATTTCCAGCCTGCAGTCAGAATGTGTCAAAACACTAGAACACAGAAAATGTATTTTTCTCACATTAGAAAGAATGCCACTATAACCATGAACACTGGCAGAGCAGTGGTTTAGAAAAATATTCAGTAATGTGAACACAACCATACTATCAAACCTGCTAAAAGGACTACTGTGTAACACAACAGCCCTGCTCCAAATCGTATCTGCATAAAGGTTGAAATGGTGATGATTCAACTTTATGGTAATTTTGGAAGCTGTAGTTTGTGGTGCTGCTAAATTGTACTGTAGTATAATCAGAGCTTATAACCTAATTATAACATGCCTAATATAAACAGGGTAGACAAGATCTATCTTCAGCAAAATTCAACATTCTTTCTTTTATAAAGGAAGGATTTCTTTTTTGCAGCAGTGTATCATTAGTTTAACCAAGCTGTATACACTGGCAATTGAGATTAAAATTACGTAAACCTCATCACACAGCCCTACACTTTCTATTTAGGGCTTCACACATGCTGCTTAAATCTTGTGAAGATAGAACTATAATGAAAAAAAAGTCAAATATACCGAGCTACCCGTGTCGGATACAGACCTCTTCTACTTGTCCGACTTAATATATAAAGTGAATTTGTGTCGAGCTGATGTTAGTTATGCCTGACAAGGTACTTGCGTAACAGCTAAGAGCGCCTGCATCACTAAATCCTACAGTGTGGGATGTGAGAAGGTGACAGCAGAATCTGCATAAAGCACAAGCTTTGCTGTACACATGTGCATAACCTCAGAGTGCAAGTTTCAACTTTGACCTTAGCAAAGACAGATGGAGAGAATCCATAACTGCACAGTGAGCCAGAGGAAAGAATACTGGTGTTAGAGGACTAGGTGACAGGACGGGAGAGAGAAAGAAAGAGGACAAAAGAGAGAAAGGGAGAGAGGGTATCTGCTATGACAGCCAAGTAGGGCTTAGCTGGCAGCCTCAGACAGACAATAAGTGTGTATGTGTGTTCAGAAAGCTTTTTTTGTCGCACTGCTAACATAATTTGACACCAAAACAATGTTGGGAACAACTGTCAACACAAGCATATTCTAAGAACCAATACAGACAAAGATATACACATAAAGAAACAGAAAGGGAGAGTGACGAAGACACAGCGAGGAGGGTTACCTTCAGTTTTCTGTTCTCCGAAGTTTGTGTCCAAAGGAGGCCCAAATAAGGCTGTGGTGTCTTCGGAGACTGGCGTTTGTTGACTGCTGCGACAGACGAAGGACAATATAGGAGAAGTTATAATCAGTCAGTTTGGCAAACGGGACTGTTAGAAGGTGCATCATCTCACTGCAACTTGTGTCGTCTGATCTGAAAGGACCACGTTATAGGTGAGAGGTGTGACAGACTTGAAATAAAAAAACATTTTATCACACCTTTGATACTCATCATTTTGCATTAAATCTTAAAAAGTTGATGAAGATATTGGATGGACTGTATGGATGTGTACAATACATTGTATTGTGAAAGTTGCCTAAATAGTGACAGAGTCTGAGATGTGAAACAATTTAATAATGAGACAGAAAGAAGTGGGTGGACAATATTGCACTCTTTTCCGTGTTTTGGGGTGCAATTAAAATAATTCAAGTTAGCCCAGAGAATAAACAGGAGGTGACACCAGATGGAACAGATACACTGTACACAAGAAGTGGCTGCAGTTCACACTTACAAAGACATATCTACACCTGACTTGTGTGAATCTGCACCATGATTGTCTCACAAACTACACTGGACAGAAAACATCTAAACAGTTGGACAAACAGCCAAACAACAAGACAATAAATAATATAAATCCATCAAACCACAAGAAACCATATAACATGACCAATCTCCAGAGCAATAGCTATAAAAACAACTGTACACATTGTTTTTCAGCATTCATACAAGAACCTGCGATAAAACTCTCATAGCACAGCGTTGTGCTGATTTATTGTAAAGCACTTTGGCCCTCAAGAAAAGTAAACACTTTCTTTGCTTGACATTCTTTCAAAATTTTTAGTAAAATGGCAAATGTTGAGCTTGAAATACAATCTAATATGCATATTTCTATAAACATTGCCTTTGGTAATATCAAGACTTTTACCCAAAGAAAGTTCCTTCTTCCCACAAGGCCACAGGCTTTTTGAAGATTTATCTCTTTTGAAAACTTTTCAGTTAATATTAAAGTTAACAGTTAGACAGCAACAACCAAGCTTGGTAACCTCAGCAGACTCCAGTCATATGCAGAAGATTCCAGTAAGACAACAAATCTACATACAGTTTATTTGCTGCATTTCTGCCTCTATATGATAGTGGGAGTGGAGAGAGGAAATGCAGGGAGAGAGCAGCAAAGACCCATCAGTTGAAACATGGATGTGGTGAATCTAACCATTACGATACAGAACACGCCAGCTTCTAACTACCTAACAGCTGTATAAATTTGCTGGTCCACTGGTTCGTGCGACTTAAATCCCCAGTTCATCTGACCATGACAGAACGCATCATGGTTGGATGGGCAGGACAAACTCCCAAAGAGGCCTGATGAAGCATGATGGTGACATTTCTAAGCTCTACAGTGTGTAAAAGCTACAAACATAATAATAATAATATCAAACTATTTTACAGTTTTTGAATTAGGTGGAGCTACATATAAAGTCTGAACACTGAAGTGATTACACATGACCTCACTGCAGCCATCACTTCTATTAGTTTCTTCACTGCATTTTACAGTGTGTGCCACAAGAAATCAACACACAGCAAATCTACTGCACTGCTTTACAACACAAAAGTCTACCTTTAAAGACAGCCCTCATAAAGCAATTTCCCCTCAGGACCAATAAAGTATTTCTGATTTAGAAGGCAAAAAAGTAAACAAAATATACAACATAATTGTATGCAGCATGATGTCAAGACAGGAGAAGGGATGAGTAGCGATGCACACAGTATATGGTACATATATATAAGACCTTTACCCTAAATGCCAGGTGCTGATCTTCAACGTGGGACCTACCTGGGAGGTTGTGGTGCTGGAGCTGGTGTGGGGGCCACAGTGGGTACAGTAGGGACAACACGTCTCGGTCTGGCAATCTCTTCACCTGGAACCACAAGTGAAATCTGTTTACCACATGTGAATGTTGCATTACAGTCTCCTAGTTCACAACTATTAAAAAGTGAGCGTGGCCCAAGGTGTAACAAGACTTGTACTTACTGGATGTGTTCCTTTTCAAACCCTGTAACGTGGGGACAAAATAACAGTAACATGTGAAAATGCAAAGACACAAAACCGCAAAATGTTTGTCTGCTAGGACACTCAAATTTAAAACTAGAAATGTACAAGAGCTGCAAATAAATGAATTATTCTGTTTTTATTCCTGTGACTCTATGAAAATGATGTGTGGTTTAAACATAACAATGATGTAGGCTGTACAGTACTGAAGGTCAGAGGATGAACTTCAGCCTTAGGTTGACTTAATATGATGAGACTAGCTACTCTTGTGCAACTATGAGCGTCACATAAGAGTTTATAGAGCTGCATATTCTAGGGGAAGCAACAGTTACATCTGAGCCATTTAAAGCAGAAAGATATTATTTAATGGGAAAATAAAACTCTTCTAAACATGGACTATTTTGTTAGCCTTGTACATGCTAGCTCTCCCCCACTGTTCATATTTAGTGTGCAGATATAATCATCTAAGTCTTTGCAGAAGTTGGATGTATTTATTCTCGAAACTACTTTCTCTTTACAGTATGAAAGACAAAGTAGTATAACACATACATATATATTTAAATGTTATCAATAAACATACTGACTCTTAATAGGTGCATTTTAGTGTCAGCAATATCAACACTACTTTCTGTGTCTACAGTACAGTTAGATCTTATGTTCCAGAGGCTAATACTGACAAAGTAAACTCCAAACTTTGATGCACTGTGAATGATCATGATTCAATGATTTATTACATTTCCCAACGTAAAGGGGGAAAAAAATATCTTACGAGACAGATACAATAGAAGGGATGCAAAGTTCTGACAATAAATCACTCCAAAATTCACCAACAGAAATATTGTTAGCCTAATATTAGTCAGAAAATAGCAACGTAATAATCTGCTGCTACCTGCAGTGATCTAACTGAGAGCAGTGGTTTGTGGCGTCAAAGCAGGAAATATTGGAAAGCTTTCAGAACATGCTTTTGAAGTCTTAAGAAGCCACCCTTGGTACTAGATGAGGTGTGAGACTGATGAAGTTGCAGCGTGAAAAACTTGAAAGAGACGTGACTTTAGCTGATGGAAAGGCAACAGTGGAATTATTATTGCCTTTCCAGCTGTGATCCTAGATACCCGAGTATAAGTGAGTATATGTATGAATTCATCATGAGAAGGACACAAGAGGCCAAGAAAGGCAGAGGGCAGATAAGGAGAGAGAAGACGAGGAGGGGAAGAGAAGGCAGCAGATGAGAAGACACGATGGGGAGTGACTGAAGTAAGACATCAAAGGGTCCAGCTGTCAAAAGTGCAAATTTTCTCTCAGTAGAGAGAACAAGCACGAAGCATTCAAGATGAAAAACAAGTACACGAGTACACTAGTGATCTTGAGAATCCCAAAACATATATTTATTTATATATTTGCACATTTATATATATAAAAATTAACATCAAAACAAATCAGTCAACAGTTTTGACCCATCGCTTCAGCCGCTGAACCCACCTACGTATTTTCTCTTATGCAAGTGACCCCAAAAGCAAAGTGAAAGGAAAAAGGGTAAAAGAAGCCGTGTGACATATTCAGTCTGACCCCAGGGAGACAGGAAGAAAGGACACTTACCGGGCTACGTCTCTGTGACCAGCAAAAAGGAAGAGAGAAGAGACACCTGGTCAGAGAGTGACAAATCAGTAAAGCAGACATCATATGCACCAGGAGAAGAAGAATGTTTGGCCTGGCTGCACAGATGTAGGGATGTGGATGATAACAAATTCTTAAAAAGGCCTTGTCTGTCTTAGATTTTGTGGAAAACAGCTTGTGTGGCCTTATGTGATTTATGTTTTTTTTGTATCAACACAAGTAAGTCCTGCATAATAAGGCAAAAGTGTTTTAAGGAACAGCCAAAGATGACTTATTCAAGCTGATTCTCTGTGTTTGTGTTGACATCTGCATTCCCAACTTCTGCTGGTGGGGAAGGAAACCACCGTGTAGCAATTAAACGTCTTCAGATAAATTCGAATATCTGCACGATTCTCGACTGTCATCTGTGAACCTCCTCTGACTGGACATTATCCAAAATATCCTGTGGCGCTGTTTCAATCGCTTCCCTCTCCTCTCTCACTCCTTTTTGTTTCCATGTATCCATTTTATGACAATTTTTCAGTAAAAACTTTAATTTTGCCGCCTAATCCTTTCGAGTCTCCTTCTATTTTCCCTAGCAGTCTCCCATCTGCCCCCTCGATCTCCTTAATTTCTTCTGAAATCTCTCCATCTGTCTGCGTCATGTCCACCTCGCATCAACGCTCTCTCCCTCCATCCCTCACTCTTGTGCGTGTTCCAGTTGTGCAGTGAGCCATGAGTGATTAAAGTGATGCAACGGTGGGTGGGGCATTCTGCTGGAGAGGACTCATTTCATTGGACACAGCGGTGAAGGACACGGCTTAATACTGTTTGGCATAACCAATCATTGTTGCTTTGCTGTATGTAAACAGGAAGAACATCAGGAAGTGCTTTGTCGCACGCTATGACCTTTTAGTCTCTCTCAGGACTGACGCTGATCTTTAATACAACTGTGTCGTATATTTTAACTATGTAAATATAGAAGAATTAAAGGGCTGGGTGTTTTTGTTTTGCAATTTCAAATTCAATCTTGCATCTTTGCCTCTGGTGCTGGAGTAAAGATAAATTTTGTAATTTTGACGGTTCATATCAGAACAAAGCGTGAGCTGGGCTGTAAACCGACAGACTTCGCCTGAGGGGAAAACTCTGTGTACAACTGACTGCACGCTGGTTGACTACACTGATGGCAGATAATAATGAAACAGGAAAAATTTATCATGAAAATAGGGTGCTCCTTTTAAAAAAAAAAAAATTTTCATGTGTTCTAAAGTGAGCCTTTCTGGCTGGTATGCTGGTAAAGACGAGAGAAAACAATACGTGATGCAAGACATCTTTGTTCACTTTCGTTTTACCTCCATCTCTGACCTTTTCCTCGCCTCCACTACTGCTTGTAGCTTGTTATTTGGACTGAGGACTGGAAACTCAAGACTCCAGAACCAATTAAAGTCAGATTTAAGATGTCTTAGTCAGCGGAAACACCTTAAAAGACAGTCTCTTGTAGTCTAAGTACTTAGGCAAACAAATCAGCTTGCATCTGGCATAAAAATGCTGAGTAGTCACACACATGCTCATAATCTGCCAGAATAAAAACACAAGTTATATGAACAGAGAAATCACATAATACTGGCGATTTGCCCTGTAAATGCAGGCCCGATAATAAAACTTCCTGTCAACACACACTGCCTTAATATTCTGCTTCATATGTAGTTAGCCTATTTTCAGCAGCACAAAACACAGCACATGCATTCATGAGTAATAAGCCAGCATTTAGGAAGATTAAAAAGTCAGCCGAAATATATAAAAGGACACAAACAAATCAAAGGCTTACCGGACTCCTCTACAGGGGTTAGCATGATTTGAATCAGCAAAAGAACAAGAAGTAAGGGAGGGATAAAAAAAAAGAAGAAGACAGGAGTAGAATAGTTAGAAGACTAAAGCGAAGAGGATATTAATACTGGCAAAGCAAAGCTTTCGTGTATATTGTTCCACATCCACAGCAAACACAAATACAGACACACTGAAGTGGTGCAGTGCTATGATTTCTCCCTACATTCAGTCAATCCTTCGTCCTCCCATGTACATAACACCAGCTACTTCTCCCAACATAATGTGAACACTGTATCCTGGCTCAGGTTTTATGTGAAACAAGCTAATAACCTGCATCGCCATGTCCTTCTCACAAGCTTGTGTACAAATGAATAATTTATGCTGAATATGCCGAATATTATGCAGTCAGAACACATATCATTAAGCATCCAGGTACACATAATACTTGGTATGTATTTCCGGCTTGTCACATGCTGGGGTAAGAGCATGTCAAGGCTTTGCAAATGCATATTTACACGCAGAAAAGCTGTGTCAGGAGTATTATAATATAGAGCCTCAGTGATTAGTGCAGGGAATACCAATGCTATTCAAATGGCTGCAGGCTGTTGTCAAGTCTGATTTTTTATTTTATTTTTTTAAATAAGTGAGTGAGTCATAAACATTTTAGACCTCAGATAAACTTCATCTAGATAAGTTCAAGGAAAAAGAAAAACAAACAAACTAGAAAGAAAGAATCAGTGTTTGCTTTTGGAGGCTGGTTAACATTTGGCCCATCTTCCTCTTTTCATCAGACCGTTCTATTGTCGGTCCATTGCCAAGGTTACCAGGGCCCAGGAGCGACTCTGTGACTCACCTAATTTATGTGTGAGGGAAAAGCTCTGACCAGGCAAACGTGATGCTAATTTAAACTGGTAGAGGTGAAGCTGACAGTTTTATAATCACAACTTGAGCACAGGAAACTCAGTGTCACGATCTCGGTTAGCGTTCAAGTGACTTGACGATATTAAATGAATTGAATTTCAAGGAGATAGTTCACTTGTTCTGGCCTAAGAAACAAAGTATTCACACAATCTGGCTACAACTATGACACCACCATGCACAACAGCCTCCAAAGCATACCTGTCATACTATTAGGGCCACACCTCACATTTATTTTCATTATTAATTAGGAGGGATGTCACAAGACCAAAGGTATCAAAAGTGCAGCAGCAGTCAGAGGTAGTGTAATGGAAATTAGGATTACTCCATTTCTGTGTTGGCAAGTGAAGGTAGGGCAACAGGTCTGCTGATCATGGATCATGTATCCCGCCCAAAACCAAGAATTAAACGGTGTCACATTGGAAACAGAGGAAACACTTCAAACTTTACAATTTAGACAGAGAGCTGGATCTGTACATAGAATTCAAGGTGGGAAAGTTTCAGTGGGTATTAAAAATAATAATAAATACTGTTCTATAGTTTATATTAATATATTGCTGATATATTATCAACATGTCATACAGTGTCCTGAAATGTTATGATTCCCACTTATGAACTGCAAAAGCTGCATTTGTAGTAGCAATGCTCCTCACGCAACAATGACAAAGAGTAATTTAGCCTGTTTAGGTTTATGTAGCAATAGATTGTAATGTGCATTGAGGGCAGCCAGTGACTTTAGTAGAGTACTAACATTACCATTCAGCCTATCAGCCTATAGTGGTGTGTGTTAGTACACTGTGTGTAGCAGAGACTGAGGTTTTCCTCATGGTCCTGTGCAGGAGAGACAGGAGCCAACTTTGAAGCTTTTCAGAGACTCAGAAAATATAAAAACTCATGACATTCCTCATGAGGAAACTGAATGACTGAGCTTCATATGAATACGACATTTTAAATACTTAAAGTAATATTTTTAATTCCTTAAAAGCGTTTTGGTTTTGAGAATCGTAGACTTTCAGTGGTATTGATGATGACTCCCAAACCTCTGGTGTTGTGACATCCCTATCAATTAGTAGTTAACAATATTATTGCACAATATTTGCCAAGAAATAGTGACCATAGCTACAACTTGAAAGTTCACAATGAAAACTGAGAAAATTCTCCAACATAAGAAGGTGGAACTAGCAAATGTTTCAGCTTTTTGCTCAATAAATTATTTAGCAGTGGATCTGTCACCAAAATTGTTGTTAATTATTTTTCTCTTGACTAACTCATCACTTCAGTGTCATATTTGTGAGGAAAAAAAAAAACACAATTTCAAAAACAACAAATGTCTCCTTAAATATCTACTGCACAATACTCTTTCTACACGTGCACACAGCCATTACCAACATGAAAAACCTTTGCTCCTGATCAGGTTAACAGAGTCAGTGGGTGAACACACTGAAGCTGGATTAAATTATTGAGGCCAGAAGATCAAATGACCACAAGCGATCTCACTGTACAGCAGACTGACACACAGGTTCATTGTGCCCACTTTCCTACCTGAATTATTCAAGGCGGACACCCAAGCTAACCGCCCTCACTGCAAAGCACAGGAATTACAGGTTGCGACTAGAAAGGCAGGTTTGGCTGAAGCCTGCTTTAGAGTCGCGCTGAATAAAGGGGATGTGTGCTTGAATTTGGACTCATCGAACGGGCTGCATCACTTCAAACCAGAGCTTCGCACCCTTCTATTTGGCAGCACGACACAGTTTCGCAGTTTCTGTTGTAGAGGGACATCTGCCTTGTGATAAATGACTCCAAACTAAACAGGAGGACACTGAGGTCACTGACCAACTATCACAGACATTGCAAATTAACTATATGACATTTAAGCTCACATATGAATCCAACGACCTCAGAGGCACATGGACTGGGATTCAGTCTAAGTTTCAAACCAGAGACATTATGTACTGTTGCATACTGGCTCATTAAACACAACAATTTTGTTATCAAGTCAAAACCTAACAGTTAAAACAAAGAGGGGGGTATTAATATACATCATAGAGAAATGTAATAGCTCAGAGGATACAAGCACACACAAGATGCAGTAAAAATAATTAGCATGTGAACACATGCATAGCTACTACTCGCCACATACAGATATCTAGTTCTACATGTGAGTTGCAGTTAAAAAGAGGGTGAAGAAGAGGAGGTATGATCAGCAAACACACACTATAACTACTATCTTAACAGTGATAACACAGCAGGCTGAGAGGGCAGCGGCGTCGGAGCTACTCACCATAGGAGACGGGGACAGAGCTATGTTGCCTATGGAGGCTTTGAGCTCATCAACTGAGGGCACCGCCACGACACGGTCAGCTGGCAGCGGCTTGATCTTGATCTTGAACTTCTTCCTTTGGTCCTCCTCTTCTTCCGACTCATCAGAGGAGAAGAAGTGGGTCTTTTTGGTGGTAACTAGTAGCATGATGTCAAGGAAAGCAATCGCCCTTTCTCCAAACATCTACTCCAGGGTACAAGTGCAATTTCATAATATTTTAGATGCAGTTAAACAATTGTCACAGAGCTGCCGAACTCACGAATCCCATCTCTGGTGAAACTTAGAGACTGCCTGCAAAACTCTAACAAATTTCCACAAAAATTGTTTTTACATTGAATGCTGTTTTCTGTGATTTTCTTGCTGTCCGCTCTGAATTAAAATTCCTTGTTTCTTAAATAATTTTTTTTCTAGAAATAAAAAGATCCTCTCTGCATGATTGATAAAACGAAGGACAAAAAGAAGAACTCAATAAACGCTGACAGCTTGGAGTCAATGTACTGACTATACTGATATTTCCACACTTCACAAAAAGGTAATGGAGCTTTTTCCAAAATCGTCCTGCTCACGTCTGCTGCGTCAATGACTCATTCTCTTGTGATGCTGATGTATGTGGCGCCTTATTAACTTCATTTAGATCTGTTAATTTGGATGTTGTCACACTTTGTTAAGAAGCTGATCACTCTATCATCACTGTGTGTCAAGTGAAATCTTCTTGTGTGGATTTCTCTCAATAGAATAACTGATTATATGCAAATGATTGTTTTTTTTTGTTTTTTTTTTTACTGATTTGGCAGTTACATCAGAATTTGAGTAATTTCCAGTCACTAAGATTTACTAATACATACTGATCTATCAGTATTAGTGGAGTAATGCTACACTAAAGTAATGGGATGGTTTGAAACTTTGTTTTGGAGTCAAGGTTGGGTGAATTTTCGGTATAGCTGAAAAGAAAAATAATGCATAACTACTTTTTTAATTAATTAAAAAACAACGAACGAATTTAACAGTGTCTAACTGGCCGTTATGCCCACTCAAATGCTGCATACTGTCAGTAAGAAAAAACGGAATTGTTTACCCAGAAGATTAAAATAAATAAATACATAAATAAAATACATTTTAAAAATCATTCAATAAGACAAGTTAAATATTTTCATCATTAACCTAATTAACCATTTAAACCAACAGTGCAAATTCTACCTTTAAAAAAAAAAGTAATAAATAAATAAAATAAAAAATTGCCTCTCTCTCTCTCTTTGTCAACACTGAGGACACAAACTTTAGTGGAATTGTAAGCAGACCAAGTGACCAGGGGCTTAGTATTGACATTCAGTGCGGCTGGTATTTGACCTGAAGTACGTGAGCAGACAAGGTACAGATTCTGGCCATGTAGAAAGGCTGATTAAAACTCAAACTGAGTATGTAGTGTGAGTTAACACGTGGTACACGTTGATAAAATTGGCACAGTGTCGGCCCAGATTTCAAAGCTAACCTCGCTATCATGCTACAGCTGATAGACAACTGGTGCACTGCCAAAGTGATCGAGGTGGAGCTCGCAGCCTATAATTTTAATTCCGAGAACATAAGTATGTAGACATAAATAGACTTCTGACAGTAACTGTTTGGCTCACAAGGAGGAACGAATCAAGGAAATAATTGAAACAAATGCTGTGTACTGAATAGTCTGAGATGTGAACCATCTTAAAGAGTATGAGAATATACGTGCTGCTACACACTATTTTAACAAATGCTGCACAAACAGAAGCAATCCATTTTTAGTAAGTAACTGGGCAAAGAAAAATAAGACAAAAAATATTGAAACATCAAGCTTTGCTGAGGATATCTCCCTCCTCTGACTCCTCTTCAGGTCTGATGCTGTAGCCCTCATCATCCACTTCAGGAGAGTTCTGAAACACACAGTGACTCAGTATGAAGTTTTCTGAATACCCGTATGAAGTTATGAGCACCACATTGCTGTGCTATGAGCTGTATGACAATAAAACGCTAACAGAGGAACAGCATTTGGTTCAAAGAGGACTTTAGTACCTGTACTGAGCCTTCCAGTCTAACAAATACGAGCTTCTCTGCTAGCTGACACACAACCAAAAGCATATTGACAAAGTCATAATCCTCATCTAAAAAGTGAGCAATAAAAAGTTGCAAATGATAACAGTTCAATCCCCTCATTTGACTCACCATCTACAATCACTTAATTTAACATACTATGCCCACAAATTTGTCAATACCACATTGATTTTACAATAGCACAGATCAATAATAGTGGTTAACTCCATGCAAGTCAAAACAAAGCTGCAGTTTTGAAGGTGAGCCGATCAAGTCAAAACACTTTTCAAAAGCAGTGTAAAATAATAATCCTACACTCAAACTTGTACTTACATATCTGTCCCAGTCAATATCTCCGTAGAAGCCATTAGGGGCCCCGTTTGTCTTCTTCTGAGACTGAGAAGACAGAGACTGTTTGATTAAAATCCCACCAGACACTGTAGGCACAATATATTATGCACAACTGCAGTACTTCTAAGCTGCTACAGTACAGAATTTTTTTTTTATTGCAGCTAATTCTCCCTCTAAACCTTGATCCTGTGAATGCTAGATCTTATGTCATGTGAGACTGTCCCCAAACTTTGCTGATTAACTCTTGGACGCATGTTCTCAGTTTTGCTCCCTTTCTCACAGGAAACCCCTAAGATCATCAAATTAGCATCCAATTTTGAAAAATATTATAAATTTACCAATGATCTCCTGATAATGATGATAGCTGAGCTGTGAACACTCCAGTGGAGCTGTATACTATTGCACAGCTTAGCTCTGTTCACCCTCACAGGATAGCCTGCTACCTTTTTTTTTTTTTTGCCCTTACAGAGCCTGCTAATGATAAGATAGCTGAAACAGCAACACTGACGATTGATTAATGAGTTGAAGAACGTACTGTGATTTCTATAACCAGTCTAAACACTACATACTACACTACTCTAGAGGCTAGTCTATTCTAAAGAGCTGAGTTCAGTACCGATTCAACCTCTTGGGGTTCCTGGCAAGTGAAAAGAACAGAGAAAATAAATGATGCACCTCACATATACCAGACTCCATTACCTCCAGTAATACTTACATTAACAGCTAATCTACAAATGAATAAAATGGCTTATATATATTAAATACTTTGTGTTACTTACACCCCCGTCTCTGTCTGGAGACCCCCTGTGAAAGAAGAGAGAAGAACAAAAACTTGAACGTCACTTAACATGTTTTTGGAAGTCAAGAGCTTCGCAAATTAGTCGAGAAGAAATATCTAAAAAGACTATTCAGGGATAACGTTTTCATACAACCACACTTGCACACTTATTCACTCACAAATTACCCTCCCACTGACATCCAGGCACACAAACCTTTCACAGTGCGTCTAAGTGCCTCATGCAGAGTTTCAAATTGGCTAAACACAACTTCAGTATCATTTTGACAAAGATTCATCAGGCTGACCAAAGACGAGGCATTTGGTCCATTAAGGCTATTTTTGATCCTGTACAATTATAGAAAATCTCCGTCTTCGTTTTCATATGACAACATGAGCTTGCATCAACAAATACAGTCACAGTGTAGCCCATTATGTTGAGGTCCATAATAACATGACATAGAGTTAATCAGAAAAAAAAGATTTCATGCAATACACTGGACTATACAGTATACTACTGTGACTCATATTTGAGTGCAAGACTCTTGAACTGCACATTGCTCATGGCAGCAGCTGCGTAACATTTACTGCATTTCACAAGACCTGTACTTTATAGTAATCCTGTAATTGTTCTCAATTATTGTAATCCCTTCACCCTGTTGTAACGTATATGCATGACCTGCTGTCTGATATCAGTTTTTCTGAGGTTTTAACTCTTTTGTCCACTGCGTAGTCTCATTGTAAACACTTTTAGCCACGGAGCGACGATTATGCTGTTCTTGTATCATACATACGGTAGAAAGGAAAACAAGGACTTACGTGGAGTCATTGTCCTTCTCTTTCTTCCGTATCCCGAAGGCCTTCCTGGTACGTTTTTTCAGTCCTGAGAAGAAAAAAGAGGAAAGGAGTGAATTATTGCATGGTAAGACACCAAAGCCATGACTAAAAGGCGGTGTCTGTGGGTGGCTTAAAGGCTAGGTGAGGTCAACTGTCTGGCACCTATCATCCAGGAGATTAAAGGCAACGATTTTATGTATTATTGAGTGGCTGGCAGCATCACTGTGATGGCAAACACTGACTCTCAGAACTAAAAGTGTGTTCAAGGTCATTACAGATGGACTGATGGCCTCGCAGTCCTCAAGGCAACTTTTTTAGAATGGAAAATTCATTAGCGCTGTGAAAATCAATGTGTCAACAATTTAACAAGGATATCATACGCAGCCGACGAAGCACAGAGGAGCTTACTGTAGGTCAGACAGATGATGAAGTTCTAAATGTCAATCTGTAACGCTACAGAGAGCATGTGAGATCAGCAATGTTCTAATTAGCCATCGGATTGCTAGTTTAAATAACTGCACAAACTTGGAAAAACTCCACTGAGATCTGCAATATGTGAGTCCAGTGGGCTATAACTACAATATGAAAGCAGCATACAAAAGAAGAGAAGACATGGATCTGCAAACTCTCACTAACTTATTTTGGCCAATATTTTCTCTTATTTTTTCTCAATCACTCACACATCGATTGGAATGAGTTCCATGTTAAAAAAATAAAATCCACTCTTGTCCTTTCTCCTTGAAGGAAGTACAATCACAGTCCATGTGTAGTTTATTCCAACTCTCTACTGCAGTAAGTATGATTAATTTTATCAGTTGCGCTGCACAATTAAGCTGTACAAACTGATCTAAGAAGCTCACACCTCTTTCTTACCCCAAATAAAAGCCCAGTTGTCCCCTTCCATTTCTTCTCTGATAACTCCTTCACACTCATTCTTCCAAGTCTTTGTCTGGCTTTTGTCACCCAACCTCATGACCAGCCTATCTCTTCCTCATACCGCATGCAGGTACACACTGAAACTCAGATCAGAAACTTGATGCCACGTCTTGCTAACTCACACATAGATAAGGTATCGTGCTCCTGTCCTTGATCTGCGTCTGGTACTCAAATTCAACACCAGTGACTCCACTCATGAATTAAAGACAAAATGTCATCATTGCAATAAATTAATAAAAAACTACAGATAGGTGTACGTCTAAAAACACTTCACCATAGAAAATGTAAGTGCTCCATATGCAGCTTGAAAGTGTTTATCAGCTGACATTTACACATTTCTTCACCATGCAAGTTTTGCATCTGCATGGCTGCAGTCAAATGATGGGAAATCAATCCAAGATAGCCTCCTGGACAGAGTCTCACACAGAAATACCCTCTCATTGATCCTGCTAACATATTTGGCCTTGCATCCTATTAACAGTCACTGTTTAAGCTCAAATAAATATACAACTGTGGTAGAGAAGCGTGCACATACACTACATACAGACAGAAGGCATGTTCATATTCTCAAGAAAAGCTTGTTATGTACACACAGGCAGGCACACATGTCCCTGCAGTGTTATGTACACACGTCAAGAGTATGATGAATATTCATGGCCACTAGCTGATCAGATGATAGAAAACAGCGCTTGTGTCTGCAAGAGCTGCCACGGTCTGGGTACACTTACAAGGTGAATAAATCTCAAGACACATGGTTAAAGGCACAGAGCTTGGTGATTCAATTTCAAAAACACCTCTTTAAAATTTCAATTTGCATGGCCATTGTCTGAGTTAATATATCAAGAATGACTGGCTATGTAGCTCATGTCTCCTATCTTGTCATGTTGTATCAGTTCAACATGTCTAACAAGTCAGAAGCTGGAAAAATACTCAAATAAAAATGTGTACAACAGGTAGACTTTAAGCAGGTGATACATTACCATAAACAATGCATTACTTTAAAGTGCGATCCTTTTTCAAGTGCTTAAACTATCACACTGTGTGTGGGTGCCTGTGAGCATGTATGTGTTGTTTGCTGTCTGTTTGCTCATCCTGCTGTGTTTTACAGATACTAAGAAAATTTGCACAATTGTGCACACGTCCACAGACACCTCCTCCCCAGAACTGAGATCAATTTTTGCTCGAAAAGTACTGAAGGCTTCATGTTTGCAAAGCCAGTCTAAAGATTTCTCATTTCAGTCTCTAGTTTGACAGTCTCCCCTCCTTCTGATCTGAACCATCTGTTGGAGGCTTCAATAAGAGGATGCAGTGTGCCCCTCAGCCTGTAGTGTAATATACCGAGTTATCTCTGATTGTTGGGCTATAAAGGAACAGACTGACAGCAAAGTACTCAGAAGCAAGTCTCACCACTCGGCAGCCATCTTGGTAACAAGACCGTGTCCCTTTTTACATAAATTTGGAGAGAGCCAAAACTGCAAATTCAAAGGTCATCAGGACATAAAAAGTGCATGTAAAGAATCATCAGTCAAGTCTGATTGACCAGTTTGGTGACTGACCCAAAAAAAGGTTTCAAAAAGTGTTTTCCCCACATGATACACCTCTGAGCACAGTCTACTAACATCACGCTTGAGTACATGTAACCACTACAATTAGCTGGATGTTTCCTGGTTTGACTGTGGCAAATGAGACGATTGGCTTTTGGAAGGAGGGGTGGGACATGTACCATTCAACCGCCATCTTTGGAGTTCCAGAATTTTTCCATAGATTTCTACTCAAGACTCTTCAACTGAGGAGCGTCTCCCTTAAAAATGTCTCTGTTGTCAGTGAGTTCTCCTCAACGGCTGTGTCATTTTGGCATCAGGCTGAGCCTGAAATTTCAACACTTATGTTCTTTGAGTGTCACTTCTCATTACAGCTGCTTTGATTCAAAAATGTCAAACTCTGGTTGTGTATAAATCCACAAGCTATGGACTGTAACTTCTTCTTGTTCTTCTTATTCTTTTTTTTTTTTTTTACTTTGAGCACACAGCACTAATATTCTGGGTCTTGTCTATTTTCAAACTGCACCAATTCAGCAGAATCTAATTTCTTTCTTGTTTTAGGCTAAAGTTCATGTCTTCAAACATCTTTTGTATATTGCTTACCCCTCTTTTAGCATCTCGTCTCTTTCTTATTTTGGGTCTGTTTCCTTTTCTTGTAAATCCACCATTGCCCGCAAGCAAGAGCTGACAGATTTACAACTGTACTAATGAAAGAGCATCGAGTGTGTGTGTGTGTGTGTGTATCACTGGATGTGTCAGTGTGTGCATGGCAGCTGCACACTACACTACGTGAGATTAAAATCTGCATGAATAATTCACTTTATTCTTATTTCATGGTCTGTACCTCCTGTTTTTCTTGTCTTTATGAACTGCATTTTCTTTCTTTTATTTTATTGGCTTGTTTTTTTGTTTTATTTTTTACAATTAAAAGAACACAAACAACTACTGATAGAAAGTAATCATTGTGACTCAGAAATGCAGCAGAAACACAATTCAGCTGATCAATGTGATTTTAAAATAAAATAGGACTATCCCATGTGTGGAGTATGGCGGGAACTACATCTGACTGGATGACATTATTGTGAAAGAAAACAGCCTGAATGTGTATGGCAGGGTTTAATTAACATAGGGAAATAACAGTGTGTGCGGTACACACTGTTTAATGACTTGATGACTTCCGTTCAGAGGGATGCTAGCACAAGTGCTAACGTAATTAGAGGTCTTCTCTCAAGACACAGTAATGTAATTCTAGGAAAAGCCAAACGACATGAGGCCAAACAGGACAGGACACTGCCAAACCTAAAAAACCTCACGACATTTGAAGAGCAACAGCACACTGACCAGTGTTTGTCATGCATTTTATTTCTTTGCTCTAGAAAAGAGAGGCGTTTCTTTTTGTAGGATGTCTATAGAATGCTGTTGTCATTTTGGGGGGCGATTATGTTCAAATAATATTTATCTGGTGACTGAAAAAAGTGAAGAATGTCAGGTTTATGGTAACCTTGGAGACGTATGAAGCTAACTTTAGAAAAGGTCCCAAGATGTGAGAACAAATTCACAAAAGAAGGAACACCACATAGAGCAGCAGCCAGTGTATTATTATTACAGCTCTGTGAGCCCCACCCTTAAACCTACAGAAAGTGGTCGTCACTGACACAACACTCAATAAGGAAACGAACCACTTAAAACACTGCAATTATACCTTTGTGCCATTATTAAAAAGAGTGTACGTGACAAACTTTCACCGTAAGGATGGGTTTGAAGGCAGATTATCGTTTAAAAAATGAGACTATTTATAAGACGGAAACTGTAAAAACAGAAAGAATATTTCAAACTTTCAGACAGTCCCTGAGTTATTCATCTGTGTTATGTTGTTGGAAAACTTCATCAAATCAAAACTTAAAATCATGATATTTTCTCAAAATAACTATTCTACATTGCACAATTTCTACTACAGAAATTCCTAGAAACTGCCAGGGGTTCAGAGGGATTTAATTAAAGTAAACTTTTCTCATATCTTGGTTACCCTTCCCACGGCATCTTTTTAAGTAATCGGCATTGTTTTCGGATTTAATAAACCCGAGCAAAAGCTGCTTTTTTTTATTATCATGATTCCATCTAGTGCAGCCAGTAAAACTAAAAAGGACTTGTTTCAAACTAAGTGTTGTGACTGAGTCTGTGCATGGCAGCAACTGATTTCCTGTAGGCTTACACGTCTCCTTTAGCCAGAGGGACCTGGTGCATTAGCCCCAGCTATAAGTCACAGTCAGAAAGAGAACTAAACTGGAAGGTACACCGTGCTCTAGAAACACACACATAGACAAAAATTGAAATTACACATGGATGCACATAGGCAACCATGGACAAAATACACTCACAGGACAGCTCTGCTTCTGGACGGGCAAAGCTGAGGCTGTTAAACAAGCTGCTCCAAAGGGGGATGAGATGAAAACGCTCTATCAGCCAGTCAACCAGCAAAACACACATACACACACACAGCTTATGCTGCCAGCCACAGCAGAGCAGACCAGGCCAGGCCACTCCAAACTCTGAATGGGCGACCTGTGCT